GTTTCAAAATTATATATGTTTCAAGTTTAATCTCGATATCTATATGATAAATAGGATGATACATATTCACTGCTTGATAAAAATTTATCTATGATCTTCTCGAGTTTGAATATTTCATCGAAAGAGTGAGCGATATCATCAACACTCGATGGTAAATTTCGTATCCTTGCGCGGGTATGTAAAACCCCAATAGATATGTGCATTACTGACTAAGCATGAGATAGAGATGGCCAAGTTTCTTCTCTGCATTCTTAAGGACCTTGAGAATAAGAAATTGTTACATGGAAAAAAAAAAAAAGAATTACATGCAACACAAGATGCTCCTCGAGCTGTTCTTTGTTTTGACTAAAGACGTATCTTTGACTCCGTTGTAGCCAAACCGCCGGAAAAATCCGACTCTTCACTCATGTGACAAAAATAAATGGTCTATGTCGGTGTACGGGTTATTTAATCGGCTTCAATCATTTGTTTTTTTTCTGTGGAATGTTAGCGGGAATTAAGAAACAACACATTTCGCACTCTTGGGTCGAGAAATTGGAGTATCGTGATAAAAAGCTAACAAAAGTGAAATTTTAAGGATAGAACCACAATGACAACCAATTCTTTATTACGTATGAAAGCGGAACCTCGCCGACGTCGCTATTAATTATTTTAGTTCTTAGAAGTCCTGCGAACATTATTCGACCTCCTCCGCAAAACTTGTAGACATTCATAGGAACTAAATATTTGTCTTCAACTATTCAAACTACATATCCACAAGGTGGTTACTCATACGAATTATTGAACATGTACGAAAACGAAACCTCGCCAACGTCACGGTTAATTATTTTGGATTCTTGAAAGCTTGTGAGCATCATTCGACTTCCTCTTCGAAAATTGGCACAATAAAAACATAGACCTTGACTGGAAGTAAATTTTTTTGGTCTTGAGCAATTCAAGTTACGTATCCTCTAGGTGGTTAGTCGTGTTATTTCTAACCGATTTTCGGTCAGAAATCGGTTTTAGTAGATATGCTTTTCGCGCAAAGGTATAAATTGGCATTTATGTTTGCGTGCTTACATCGTACGCTGCGAGGTGAGAATGAGGGCTCAGTGAAAGCTAATAATGGTGCAGAATCTTAATCTGAAGGACGATAAAAATTTCCCGAATATCCCCTTCAAAATCGTACAGGAACAGACTATTTATTATTTACTTTCTCCGACATAATTTTTTATGGGCCAGCTACTTTCAGTTTTTCATATTTTATAAGCACCTTCAAAAGAAAATTTATGGAATTTTCTGTAGCTTTGTGGAAATTTTTACAGATGCGCTTTATGAAATAACTGAGACCTTTGGTGGATAGGTGTGTCTGAGTGACGGTATGTGAACGCAGTTCTTTACGTAATAGGCCGGGGGGGAAGGGTGTTGGTAGAATTCGTGACGGTTACGCAAAACCTCGCTTGTGTTTGCCTTAATGATTCAGTAGTGAGTACTTGGACCCTTGACAGTTAATGCCAACTTTATACTTAAAACGAACTTTTAGGTTAAAAGAGCCTAGTGGTTCGCAAAAAAAAAAACTTTAATGATGATAATAAAATCAAAAAAAAAAGGTTATCCATGCATTATGTTTAAGTAAAATATACTAACTGTAAGGAGTCTTAGGTGTCTTTAGTTATCACCAGTTAGAGTTTATCGGTTCAAATATTGGTCGAAAGGCTTTCCTTCTACGTCCAGTTAAGTCAACACAGCGGAACGTGACTCGAGCTGTCACGCTACCACGATAGCGTGACAGAGGAAACTTTGGGACTTTTATTTTTTTCTCGACGTTCTCTTTAGATTACTTTCATTTCAGTCTCCTTCTTTGATTTGTAACCATGATTTATAGCGCATTAAAATCGACTCCATTTATCTCCAGCTATGGCAGAAAGTAATCTCCCAACAACGGGGGAAGAACTGGACTTGAACAATGAGCCTCCAGTCACAGGTGAGAGAAGAAGACCGTTATATGATAGTTTTGAAGTGGTTGTTAGGCCTTTTGGTCGAATAGTTAAGTATATCTTTAATCATGTGCACTTATCTTTGAAACATTTACACTTAAAGGTATTACGGAATCTAATAAATAGGTTGGTATTCTGGGTGACGAGGATACTGCGCATGTTGGAATTGCTCATAGTTGTGATCACTGAAAAGATCGATATATTTTCCGCTTGGTAATTTCAGCGACAGAGAAAAGCCAATTTACGTCAAGTGATTCAAAACTGGAGATATACGATGACCCTTCAAGAGGTGAGACAAAAAGGGGAAATAATTTTTTTAAGGCGACCCAGTGTAGTTTTTGAAATAGTTATATAAAAAATTTCTACCGCTCTGGGAATAACTTGCTGAGAGTCAATAAGTTTATCTTTGCAAGTAGAGCACTCATGGTCGAACATAAACCAAGGTGATTTGGTCACCACGAAAATGTTAATTGCAAGGGACGTGAAAACCAAAACTTTTTACCGAATTTAATTGTTCTGCCTAATATTCTAATCATTGTTGAAACACACATTTTCGTTCCATTTTTGTACATTTAATCATGTTTTCTATATTCTTGACAAGTTTTGAGATTGATAAGAATAGTAAAGGTCTGCTTCGTTATCTAGAAATTGCTAAAGAACTGAGAAACCAGGCCGGAGAAGGAAGACGTTATGGCAATCTCGGCAACGCTTATCATGGTCTAGGACAACTCAAAGCAGCAATCGAGTACCACCAACGTCATCTAGAAATTGCTAAAGAAGTGGGAGACAAGACCGGAGCAGGGAATCAGTTATGGCAATCTTGGCAACGCTTATCAAAGTCTAGGAAAATTAAAAACAGCAATCGAGTACCACAAACGTCGTCTTGAATTTGCTAAAGAAGTGGGAGACAAAGCCAGGGAGGGAAGAAGTTATGGCAATCTCGGCAACGCTTTTCAAGGTCTGGGACAGTTCAAAACAGCAATCGAGTACCACAACCGTTGTCTAAGAATTGCTAAAGAAGTGGGGGACAAGGCCGGAGAGGGACAAAGTTATGGCAATCTCGGCAAGGCTTATCAAGGTCTACGGCAGTTCAGAACAGCAATCAAGTACCATCAACATTCTCTGGAAATTGCTAAGAAACAAGGAGACAAGGCTGGAGAGGGACGAAGTTATGGCAGTCTCGGCAACGCCTATCATGGTCTAGGACAGTTCCAAATAGCAATCGAGTACCACAACCGTTATCTAGGAATTGCTAAAGAAGTTGGAGACAAGGCCGGAGAGGGACGAAGTTATGGTAATCTCGGCAACGCCTATCATGGTCTAGGACAGTTCAAAACAGCAATCGAGTACCAGCAACGTCATCTAGAGATTGCTAAAGAAGTGGGAGATAAGGCCGGAGAGGGACAAAGTTATGGCAATCTCGGCAACGCCCATCAAGGTCTAAGACAGCTCAAAACAGCAATCGAGTACCATCAGCATTCTCTGGAAATTTCTAAGAAAGAGGGAGACAAGGCTGGAGAGGGACGAAGTTATGGCAATCTCGGCACTATCAAGGTCTAGGACAGTTCAAAACAGCAATCAAGTCAAAGCAATCGAGTACCACAACCGTTATCTAGAAATTGCTAAAGAGGTGGGAAACAAGGCCGGAGAGGGAAGAAGTTATGGCAATCTCGGCAACGCTTATCAAGGTCTAGGACAGTTTGAAACAGCAATCGAGTACCACAACCGTCATCTAGAAATTGCGAAAGAAGTGGGAGACAAGGCTGGAGAGGGACAAAGTTATGGCAATCTCGGCAACGCTTATCAAGGTCTAGGACAGTTCAAAACAGCAATCGAGTACCATCAACGTCATCTAGAAATTGCTAAAGAAGTGGGAGACAAGGCTGGAGAGGGAACAAGTTATGGCAATCTCGGCAACGCTTATCAAGGTCTAGGACTGTTCAAAACAGCCATCAAGTGCCATCAGCATTCTCTAGAAATTGCTAAGAAAGAGAGAGACAAGGCTGGAGAGGGACGAAGTTATGGCAATCTCGGCAACGCCTATCAAGGTCTAGGACAGTTCAAAACAGCAATCGAGTACCAGCAACGTCATTTAGAGATTGCTAAAGAACTGGAAGACAAGGCCGGACAGGGAATCAGTTATGGCAATCTTGGCAATGCTTATCATGGTCTAGGAGAGTTTGAAACAGCAATCGAGTACCACAACCGTTATCTAGAAATTGCTAAAGAGGTGGGAGACAAGGTCGGAGAGGGAAAAAGCTATGGCAATCTCGGCAACGCTTATCAAGGTCTAGGACAGTTCAAAACGGCAATCGAGTACCAGGAACGTCATCTAGAAATTGCTAAAGAAGTAGGAGACAAGGCTGGAGAGGGACAAAGTTATGGCAATCTCGGCAATGCTTATCAAGGTCTAGGACAGTTCGAAACAGCAATCGAGTACCATCAACGTCATCTGGAAATTGCTAAAGATGTGGGAGACAATGCTGGAGAGGGAATCAGTTATGGCAATCTTGGCAACGCCTATCAAGGTCTAGGACAGTTCAAAACAGCAATCGGGTACCACAACCGTTATCTAGAAATTGCAAAAGAAGTGGGAGACAAGGCCGGAGTGGGAAGAAGCTATGGCAATCTCGGCAACGCTTATCAAGGTCTAGGACAGTTCAAAATAGCAATCGAGTACCAGGAACGTCATCTAGAAATTGCTAAAGATGTGGGAGACAAGGCCGGAGAGGGAATCAGCTATGGCAATCTCGGCATCGCTTATCAAGGTCTAGGGAAGTTTAAAACAGCAATCGAGTATCAGCAACGTCATCTAGAAATTGTGAAAGAAGTGGGAGACAAGGCTGGAGAGGGAATCAGTTATTGCCATCTCGGCAGAATTCTTCTCGGTCAAAGAGAGTTTAAAAGGGCAATTGAGTCGTACCAACGTCACCTAGAAATATCCAAAGAAGTAGGAGACAAGGCGAGAGGCATGCTCACTCGGTTCTCTCGGTATAAGTTTCGAGTGCCAAGGAGATCCCATGAGGGCCTTTACCTACTATTACTCGAGTGTAGAGGTGTATGATGATATCAGGGCCGGTCTTCAATTTCAAGATACGTGGAAGATTTGCTATCGTAATCAGCACCAAAGTGCATACAAAGGTTTGTGGCGTATAAGCCTCATTCAAGGTAAAGTTGTGAACGCTCTTCTTGCCGCAGAAAAAGGACGTGCTCAAGCTCTGAGAGATCTCATGGACGCAAGATATCAGCCTGAAGATACTTCCAGGAGGAGCGGTTCGTGCCTTTCCCTGAGTTCTGTTCCATCAAGCACAGTTTTCATAGCAATCAGTGGACCGTGCGTTTACTTCTGGGTTTGCCTCAGTGAAGATAATATCCAAATGAGAAAGATTCACGTGAACAATTATAAGTGTGAGGATGAATTGGAATCTTTCATCCAGCTACTGAACAAAACTGCCCTTATGGAGAATTTTAGGGGAGATGCTGTCACACGCGGAAATCCTTCAGCTGATTCGCCAAAAGAGGATCAAGTGGCCAAAGATATGATCCGAGATGATGTGAGGTACTCACAATCAAGTGCTCTGCAGAAGCTTCGTGACATCATCGTTAGTCCTATCGCTGATCTGATCGAAGGCAACGAGCTAACTGTCGTTCCAGAGGGGCCATTTTGCCTTGTACCTTATGCCGCATTGGAGGACTCGAGGTCATCGTGTCTAAATGATTCTTTCACAATTCGTGTGCTTCCGTCCTTGACGACCTTACAACAAATACATGATTGCCCAGCTGACTTCCACGCGAAGAGTGGTGCATTGCTGGTTGGCGACCCATGTTTCAGAGATATCATCTACCAGGGAAGACGTTTAGTGCAACTTCCGGGAGCAAGAAAAGAAGTGGAGATGATTGGACGCATCCTCAATCATTCCCCTCTCACTGGAGAAAAGGCTACAAAAGATGAGGTGTTAAAACGAATGTCATCAGTGGCGTTAGTGCACATTGCAGCGCATGGTAAAATGGAAACTGGGGAAGTCATCTTGGCACCAAACACTACAAGGAAAAACTCTCAGCCAGAAGAAAAAGACTATCTACTGACGATGAAAGATGTCCTAGAAGCTGGGCTGCGGGCTCGACTGGTTGTACTGAGTTGTCCTCACAGTGCTCGTGGGGAGGTCATGGCCGAGGGTGTGGTCGGCATCGCACGAGCATTTTTGGGTGCCGGTGCCAGATCTGTTGTGGCAACCTTATGGGCAATTGATGACGAGGGAACCCTGGAGTTCATGAGTTTCTTCTACGATGCACTTGCTAAGGGCAAGAAGGCAAGCGAAGCTCTCCAGCAGGCCATGAAGTGTATGAGAGAAATCGAAAAGTACGAGGAGGTGAAGTACTGGGCACCATTTGTACTCATTGGTGATGACGTCAACCTGGATTTCAAGGAAATTCAGACTCTGAACCATGTAATTACTCTGTTTATAACATTTTTTCAATACCAAGTGACATAAATCAAAATTATAGTTGTTGTATGTTGTTTTTCTTTCAATGGAGTTAGGAATTTTTGGTTGCTCGAGCAAATTGAGATGAAATGCAGTCGCTGCAACATTTACGATGATAACCATGATAAGAATGAAAAAAAGATAAGATTTTCTCTATAACTATCCAGTTTTGCGGTGTATTGTTTAATTTTGCATAGCCAAGGAAAACACCCGATGGCAACTCAACGATCCTTCCTAAATTTTTACTCTTACTTTTCAGCTGAGGCAGTGAGCATTGCAACTATATCAGAACAAGGACCAAACCCGAGGAAGTTAACGATGATATTTGGATCAGAAAGCAGTAAGCTACTGATGAAAACTTTGTCAAGAGTCTTCTTTTTAAAGCAGGGAGAGTCAACAGAGAGTCAAAACTTGACTTGTCACCCGTCTGAACTGTTCTTACGAGCTTGAAGGATTTTGGATACTCTAAAGGAAAAGAACTTTCAAATGTTTTGATCCTTAATATCTTACTCAAACTGATTTTCGTGTAATTTTTCTTTTAATGAGATGTCTTGAAATTATCATGACCAGCAATATAGAAAGTTATATTTTTAATCTAACATGGACGTTAATGTGGGCGTCACATTAACGTCAAAGTTGAGACTCTTTAAGGTGATTTCCAGAGATTTTTTTTACAGATTTTCTCTCGATCGGTTTTTGCCAGATGACTGATATAAAGCTATTACAACCATATCCATAGACCTTTGAGAATAATAGGTTGTCTGATTGCTCGAGTATGTTAGTTAGTTTTCTGTCATAAACTTTTTTGAGGATTTTTACCTGAGGCATTGCTTATCAAAGCTCTTTTTCTGTATTAGAAACATTGTTTTTCAGGACTTAAAATAACAGATTTTTACCTTTATGGCCCGGATTTAATCTTACTCTCACCAATATCTAGACTAAGTTTTCCTTTACGTTTGAATGCGATAAATTGTGCTCATTGTTCAAGCATCACGATGCATTTTAGATATACTGTTAAAATTAATAGCACAACAGCGAAACGAGGATTTAAAAAGGGTTATGTTTCCATCTATTGGCCGATTTCACAATTGTGCATTATACAAGGCATCGATAGAAGTTCAAACTGTGCGAGAAAGCTGAAGCCTAGTGATGTACTTAGTCACTCCTAATTAGTTGTTTACCTATTTCGTAAGTTCAATAAAGAAGCATTTGAATGTCAAAAATGAGGCAAGTCATTTGACATTTTGTTGGAAGGGAGGAGTAAGTCAATGACAAAATTAAGAGAATTTCTGGCGACGATCACTTTGAATAGCGCGCGCTTACGTGTTATTCGTTAACCTTTTCACTTCCAAGATCTTATAAGTAATTCTCCTTTCTGTCTCCCAGTCAATTCCTTTGGTGTTAGTTAGGACAATTCGGGTTTGGATCAACCTATAATCCCTAATTAAAACTTTTCTTTATTCTCCTCACTTGTCTTCTTGATATTGTCTTGATATTGTGAGGAGAAATTCTGTCTTGGTCACTCATGGAAGTTATGCCTGAACCCAAGGCTATCTGTGACAGAAGACTGAACTTTTCGTTAAACTCATGGACCGACTTATAATGAGGTGACATGCAAGATTTGGAATCTAAACAGTTTTTAGAAGGTGGCGCTTTAAAGGGTAAAAAGAAAAAAAACCGACAAAACACGACGTAGAAAAATAAGTGAACCAAGGATGAACCTGGAAGAGACATGTGTAAGGACAGCGCTGTCGCTTGGATTTTAAGCGATTTTAAATCTACCTGCAGAACAGGCGTATCTCAGTTGCGTTTTGCAGTCGACCAGAGGCAAGCGCGCGAGGCAGTGCGAAGTGCGAGTCCTTTGCTTTTAAAAGGCAGTTAACCAGACCCGAAAAGTCAGGAAACTCTGAAAGTATGACCAGTATGACCAAACCCTGCTGTTAAAACAGCGGCTGTGTAAATAATTTCCGTAGGAATAGGGGTCCGAGGAAGCTTGGGTCCCATCCTCCTACGCACTTTATTGGCAAAAAGGAAGTAGAAAAATGCCTTAGCCCCGGTGTATGAGGCAGTTACAGTAGAAACAACCATAAAAAAAGAAAAAAATGAACTAGCCCCAAGGTTGCTTGGAAGTGACAATAATTTCATTCCCCAATCAGTGCTCCAAAATGCGCCAAATAGATTTAGAACGTGTTCCTAACCCACCATGTTACCAGTAGTCCCTCCTTCATTCCTAAATTGGTTTCTTCTGTCCTGGTAAATTATTTAGCGGTACATCTGTATTAATACATTTCAACACGACCTGAAGGAGTGAGTATAAAGTTTTAATTACCCCTCCCTAGCTGCGTCAAGATTGTGGGCGACTTTGTAGTCACCCTTGAAAGCTCGAGGGTTTATATCACATGACGAATTTTAAAGATATTGGAGCCAAAAGTAATAATTTCCCTAGTTTGGCTAGACTAAGTTTTCTTCCCCGTTTTCTCAGACATTTTCGGCGTATCAAAAAATTTGACTTGATCTACCCACCGTAGAATAGCTTATATCGATGTCATTTAACCACTTATATTTTTGATGAAAAATTGAGTGCGAAGAGGTTACAAACAAAAAGGTTGTTTTATGAAATATAATCTGTTTAGTTCTTAAAGTCTACTTAAGTATCGTATGGTTTTGCTCACAATCATCGCTTCAGCTTCAAATGTTTGCATGCGGCTGGAGCCTTGCAAATTTGCGGACACGTTTTAATAAGAAAAAATGCCTGTGCGCAAGACATTTTCCTCGAAATTTCGATGATACGACGTGTCATGTATTTGAGGTGAAAGTTTTTTTGCGTGCGATGGCTGTGCGCTAACAGTATATTAGGTACATCGAAAAAGTACTGCAGCATGTGTTTACGTGTATTCAGCCAACACGCTGTGTTTATCGGAAATTGACTCTTAAACAGGATGCGAGATGTCACTCATTAGTCTATTGAATAGTGTCTTTTCTTAGCTGGAGGAGAAGCGAATTCTCAACGCGCGGGAAATTGGCGCACGGTCGACAAGAACTTATCCTCTCGCGCATACCCGTCGACTGTAGTGCTGGTTTGAATACGTAGTTTATCACCGCTGACCAACTTGATCTCTTTCACCCACTCTCCCATCCTCCAAGCTCTTTGCGATGCAACAAACGAACAGCAGGAGAAAAGCTTCTCAAAGCAAGATTATTAACCCTTTACCTCCCATGAGCGACCAAGAGAGAAATTCTCCTTACAATATCAATACAATAACAAGCAAGATATTAAGCATGAGAATAAACTAAAATATCAATTAAGGGATTATTAGTTGATCTGGTACCAAATTCTCCAAATTGACATTATGAGAAATGTATGAAAGATAGTAAAGAGAATTAATAATGAGATCTTGGGAGTTTAAGGGTTAAGGTCCTAAAAAAAAACCTGGGAATCAACGACATTATTTTTACCAATAAATCCAATGGAGAGAAAAAAAAATCGGACAACAAAATAAAAACAGAAAAAATAAAACAACAACGTGAGCGGCGCCATTAACAATTGGTTCATACGTCAGCGTGCGTTCATCGAGATATGAAGCACGCGGGAAGTTTGGAGAGCACGAAAGATGCGTAAGAGTTGCTCGAGGCGTAGCCGAGAGCAACTCTAGCTTCTTGAGTGCTCTCCAAACTTCCCAAGTGCTTCATATCTCGATGAACGCACAGTTGACGAATGAAACAATTTTTTTATAACATTATCAACCCGATGGAAAATCTTCTTCTCGAGGGATTTGTTTGCTGACGTCATGAACGTGCACAATAGGAATATGAAGCACGCTCGCGCAATTGAATTTGATTACGCAAATTTACTAGCTATGTTATAAAAAGATTTGTTTCATTCCTTTCGTTCGACTGTTCATAAGCTAGCATGTTCTGTTCCATGGGAACAAAAACAACAGAAGTAGAAGGCTAGGAACTTTATTTTTCTCCTCAAATGCAACAAACACCACTCACAAAACACAGCTTTCAAAAGCTTCTTCGCTTTAAGATCAGTGTTAATTTGCCATTCTTTTTTCTTATTCTTAAATTGATTTTGCGTTATTATAATAGGCTTTAAATAACATAAAAAGACAAAATATCATGTGCAATGACAATTTCAGTTTAACAGTCCAAGGTCACTGGATTCCACTGGTTCAGAATAGAGCAAGTTTCCTTTCATCATCGTTGCCTTAACGATGACTCGTATTCCAACACCGCCACTGCCTTTGAAGACATCGGGCCCACATAACTCAGAAGTACAGGAAGAAACAAGAGACCATGCTACGCGCCGATCAAAACAACGCCGAGATGCACGCGAAATTTGAATACCTAAGCGGAAAAAGGTTAAAGTTACGGCTAAAATTTATTTTACATTGATGCTCAGTTACGCCTTGATTAAAGGCGTGCGCTCGGAAACGGCCGAGGTGTGATCTGACGAAGTCGCTGTGGGAGGAACTTTTCGGGGAGCTGGGCCAACGTAACTTAGCAAAACAGGAAGGAGTAACAGCCCGTGAAGAGCACCCAGTATTACAATGCCAACATACATACGGAAGTAGAAAACCTGAAAAAAATAGTAGATAAAAAGGAGAACTGATTTAATTTGATCCAACATTAAAATGTACCATTCACGATTGAGGCATCTCGCGGTCACATCGAGGCAATGCACAGATAAGAAACTCAGTCTGGTTACCAACTCACTGGGTTACTAACTAATTATTTCAGCTTCACCACGTACTCTTACAAAGTGGGTCTCATTAAGACTCTCGTTGATAGGGCCTACAAGATTAATAACACCTGGTTAGGGTTTCACGAGGACATTAACAAACTTATTGATATTCTAAAAATGAATCTTTTCCCTGCTCATTTAATCGAGAAGATTATAAACCGTTACATCACTGGGACCCAAGGCAATCATCATCCCCGGGGTTCTCTTCCTACCACTTCACCTAGGTTTTACTTTAAGCTACCCTAAATGGGCCACTTTTTTGCTATCAATCAAAAAAAAGATTCGCCATTTTATTAAGCGCTATTGCAATGACTTGGATATTAAACTAGTTTTATCTTCCTTCCAAATCGGCTTCTTGTTTGGTGTAAAAGACCCTGTCGCTGACGGGCTCCGTTCACGTGTGGTTTATAAGTTTGTATGTGCTGGCTGTAATGCGTGATACGTAGGTGAAACCTGCCGGCATTTTTCCACACGTGCTAGAGAGCACTTAGTCAGTGACAGGGCCTCTCACATTTTCAAGCATCTGAAAGATTCTGCACATTGTCGCGCTTTGTGTTCAGCAGATAACTTCCATGTTTTAGATCACACCTCTACCGGTTTTCAACTCAAGATAAAAGAGGCTACTCATATTCAAAGAGAACAACCATCCATGAATCAACAATTACACCATGTAAATCTAAAACTATCCTTTTAATTCCCACACTTTCATGCTTTACCTCTTTTATTGTTGTCACTATTTATCATAATTAGCATTGTTCTACGCACTAGATAATTCAACTTCCAACGCTTTGAACATTAATTAACTGAAGATGACAGAAGTTTCTGTCTAAACATGTTTTACAGACTTAAAAGTTTTGTCGCTTTCTTTAAATGCTTGACATAATATAGTACAAAAAGATGAATATGAGCTCTGAGTGGCAACTCAAACGCTGAATATCCTTTGCCAGCCACTTCCCAACAACTCGCGCTGGATTTGCCCCCGAACATATTGTAATCGTTGCAGGAATATTATTATCAACCACTAGCCAGCTCCACTTCGTTGAATAGTTGTTTTAAGTTTGATTCCATGAAGTACTTTCGATTGGATGAAGAAAAAAAAACAAAATAGTCAAAAAGTGTTCCAAAAAAAATAAGCCCACAATTTTTTCCTGAACATTGCTCTTATTAATCGTACCCCTGACAAATTACCTAATCGGAAAGTTATTTGAAACCTAGAATTAAAGAATATCACGAATGAAAGAATAAGGCACATGAGGTTTGGTTTGTTAATTTATTTTTAATAAAGCTTACATAATACTCCCGATTTTCAAAGGCTTTTTCCCTCGGTAGAATAGCGATCATATGTAGTTGCTGCTTTAAATGAATTCTTCAGGACAAATTTGTCTTCAGATTATTATTTTTTATGTTAATTTGTCTCCTTTTGTTTTGTTTTTTCTCCGGCATGACGCAACATATGATTAAATTAAATGTAGAATGGGCTGTTTGATGCATGAATCAAAAAGAAAAAAAGAAAAAGAAAAAAAACTATTGGTCAGGAAAATAATGGATAGGCAAGTCAAATATGTCTGTGATGACAACTTATCAAATGATCAAAGTGTAATAAAGGTGTGATGAAAGTCTCACCAGAGATCAGCCGAATGTCAGCTGTTGCAGCACTATGGTGGTGTGATCTGCTGTAATATTTCTGTTAGACTCTAAGAGCTCCATTCAAAGGGGTGCTCAGAATGTAGCCTGAAAAGAGAAGTATAGAACTGAACAACCAAAGATTTCTATTTTTCTGCCAGCCCTTAAAGAATTAGTGATGAAAATATACAACAGTAATTGTTTGCTGCTGCACTTTGGGATTAAAGTGAGTAAACTTAACTGTTCAAGGATTGTCTTCTGCTGAATCAAAAATTTGGCAATGGGCACCCTTTTGCCCTTAGTGTGATTTACTGAAAATAAAAATACAAAATAAAAAGAACTCAAAGAAATAAATTAAAAGCACTGTTGGGACTGTGATACTCCCTAATCTCAAAATGTGCATTTGTTTGTTTCTATTTTTCATTTGTCATTTTCAAACCAAAACCAAGACCAAGCTGCTAAAACTTAGCAATATTTGATTAATTAATGCTCAATCAAAACTATAAATAGTGCTGTCCATGACCAGTAAAAATATCACCATGTTCAAATTCCCAGCTTGTCTTCTCTAACAGCCAACTACATTGAATCATGGTGCAGCCTTTTGATTCCCAGGATCAGAGAGCTGACTGATCACTCAACTGACAACCCTACAGTTTGTTCTTTAGTAGTACTGAGAATATGCTTAAGATTGTTTTAATGCTCAACCAAAAATCATTGTCAAGTTGTCTTATTTAAGCCATGCCAAAATACTTGCTAATATTGAGAACCTCAAAGAGAGCAAGCAGTCTTTATTTCTGTTGACCAGAATAACCTTTGAGATTCCAGAGAATGAACCACTGGCATATGAAAATTTGGAGGAGTTTTTTTTTCTCAGAAAAGAGATTTGGACAAGAAAAATAGTAAAAAAGAGAAGGGATGGAAGAAGTGGAATGGCAAATTAAATTGTTAACAACTGACATTGTAAAAAAAATAATAAAATAAAAGTAATTTTCCACAGAATTCAGAAAATCTTACATTGATCATGCATAAGAAAAAAGAAATTAAATTTTAAAAACAATATGGGGCCCAATAAATATTTTTCAATCAGAAACAAATATAGATTATCCCATGGAAAGTGTGCACAAATGAGTTTCATTGCATTAAAAAAGAAAATAAATAAATGGGTGAGTGCTGTGAACTAATGAGTTTTTTCTTAAGTCAGTGGCACAAATGGATAAAAATTGTTCAAGCACTTTCCTTGGTATGGTTTAATTTCATACAATAACTAAGTATTTCACTCACTGTCCAACAGAGACTGAAAGCTAACAACTGTGAAAATACATTGTTCATTCAATGAGAGCCAAAAACGATACTACCTAACAAATGAATGTAAATCCCTATTTGCATTAAAACAAATGCCACTTCTTAACAATTCTCATATAGAAAAGATTAAGATTATTTCTCAAAGACTGAAAGGTGGGAAGAAAAAGAAAGGCAATACTTTATGATTATTTTAGACTGCTGACAAAGAAATGAAATAGAGATCAAATAAAAAAAACCCTTGAAGGTCCATTGCAATGGTTTCCAATACATAAACATTATACAACGACTATTTTATGTCAATTATGAAAAAAGCTGCAGTATGCAGGCATTGTAGGAAAGATAAAAATCTATGATAATACAAACAGGGATTTTAGGGTAACAGGTTTATTAATTTAGATCTTGTGAGTATAGTTGTCAGTTGCGTAACATCTCCTTGTAAGAGCATTTTCCTATTGCAACTTTTAATCAAATTTTTTCTTTTAATTTTCTCTCAAAGAAATAAAAAATGTTTCAACTGCGGAGAGAGAGGCCACTCTTACAAGGAGTGTGCCTCTCTCTAAAGAAGAGGAGGAGGCAAGGGAGGAGGAAGAGGGGAGCATGGTGGCAGTGGCCAGGGCGGTGGACGTGGTGGCCATGCCCACCACGTCATCTTAAATTTTTATTTAAAACATCAAAATGAAATCATTCATTTTATAACTGTCATTGCAGCAGATGAATTCACCTATAACTGCAAATAATAACTTCTTACCAAGCCTGAGTGCCATACTGGGGAACTTTTTCCTGAGGTCCTTACAAAAACAACTGATGACCAATATTCCTCTGTAGAACAAGAGTAAGTAATGTTAGCAAGTGGTTTACTGTATTGCACTTGGACTAAACTTTTTAATTTTAGTAATTTGGTCCCTTTCAAAACAGAAATCCATGGGTTATGGTCGTTTTAGTGGAAACCACCATCTGCATGGAAAACTACCAAACAAGTAAGAACCAAATCAGTATTTACCTCAAGACTACCTTGACATAGTGCAACCCAAAGTTGATTTTCCTAACTGTTCAAAAAATGGTATAGCCCCTAGTATGGAGGATATTTAACCCATTACAAAACCCGATGTTTTTGCAGAATTGTGAGAGTATTAGAGCAAACAATTGATTATTAATTCAGTCAGTTATCCTAAATCTTTCACCTAAAAGAACTAACTTGGATAAATTTCAATAGGATTGAAAACCATAAATCATCATACACATGTTTAGTGATAATGCCTGTGGAGATTCCACCACATGGGCTGATTTATGCATCGGTGCCACTGACTCGTAGGGTAGCGTGTGTATTACATTGTACTGCCCAACAGCTCCCCTCAAAACGGCTATCTCACAGTTTCCACAATAACTCTGTTCTTTATTGAATTGTTAGAAGCCCTCGATAGCGAAAACATGGAACGATTACTTTAAGACAGTTCCGAGGATGAACATACAAATAAGTATCGAAGGCAAATCATTTAAACGTGAATTTTTTCATCGTCATTAACAGTTTTTATCAATACGCGTCAGTAACAAAAAGAAACGAGAAGCGAGAGAGGCTAACTGACCAAGGCAACGAAGGAATAATTTACATACGACTCCTCGCTGACCAAGCTGCGAACTACTTTGCACTTACCTCTTCTGAATGAGTTAAAAACGGTCGTAAAGACTTGCAAGAAAAAACTCCACCCTACGCAAGGCTAGCACACGATCTCCAATACAAAATAGACCTTTTACGGTTAATAGAAGAAGAAATACAAAGCATACGCGGTTTACATGCAAACTTTGAAGTAAAAAAGAACTTATGGCTTGATGATTTCTTGAGCATTCTGGGAAAGCTAAACGCAAACTCTCATTGGAGCAATAAGGAGGTGTGACGGAGGTGTGTCCATAACCATGGTTACGAAAATGAACTCCTCTAACCTTTGCGGCGGAATACTGCAGGAGGGAAGATAGTTACTCGTGTATTTACTTCGCCTGCAACTGATGGATAAACATATGATGCGGATATTTTGCAACAGCATCGCATGGATAAGCATTTTATCTCCGGAGCGTAATTTATTGGCACCACTACTGTAAGTTAAGAAAATTTTCACAATTCTTTACCAAGTATTAACTCGCCTAAACCAGGTCGCAAAATTTGAGACCTACATCTCTTCCTAGTTTCTTAAAGTAAAGGAATATTGACATGTGTTGTTTCAGGAAATATTGAAGTCATCCTATGGCAGCCAGGCTGTGAATGGTGTATACATGTATCCTAATACACAGTGCAAGAATGAAAACCAAGGGCAAGGAGTTAGTTAAGATTATCGATATAAGCGACAGTTGTGCACTCGAGATTTTTCCAGTTGCAGTCAATATCAATATCTGCTGGAACAACACAATTCAAAATATTTTGAGGTTAAACAAAAAACTATAAAGTAGTATGTCAGTCAAAAGTTACACAGTTCCTAGGTCATGAATGAGAGTCAATAAAAGAAGTACATTGGGTTTTAGAACCCTTCATATTTAGAGATAGCCAAAAACTTACTAAAATACAATGCGGCTGCGGCGCATATGTAAACAGACTACATTGCATTTGAAATAATTAACAGACCGCTCATGCAGGACTTGCTTTATGCGCTGCCTGATACAAAAACCCAAAGAATATCCAGAGATAAAATGTGGGAACGTATTCTCTAACCAAATGCAGCGGCACAAACTCTGGGGGTTAGAGGTGTAAATTACTAAGTGAAATTGTGATCAATACATTTTCAAAGATAGAGTATTGAGCTAAATACAGTACAACCATTGATCCTCATGAAAAACCTTTCAACGACCGCGCTGTAATTAGGGCTCTAATACATACAAGTTATCACAAACTGCAACCAGTAAATATTAACAGACTTTGTAAAGACATATTTATTTTTGCTAACTTCCATTTTTACAATATTTTGTCTTGAAGTAACACTTATGAGGAGATCTCAAGTATTTCATACCACTAGATGATTTAAAAATATGTATATCTGATATGTTGGTCTACTAATGCCTAAGTAACAGATAATGATATCACCATTTTTAATAGGAGGAGGGAGGGGTCAATTGTAGGAAAGCTTAAAAGTATCTATAGATTGCTTTTTTCTCGGCAAATTTCATCATGAATATTGCAGTGATCACATGCATTCAGTTATTATTAAAGCTGATTTTCTGTGCTGACAGATGATTAAAAACTATATGGAATCAATGTTGTTAAATTTAAGAAATTTGCAAAGTTTCAGTGCAAAATACAGATTTCATTACAATCCATCCTTATCTTAAATTGCTTCAAACATCATGAAAGATATATATATTCATAAACAACATAACCCTTTACAAAATGATAAAACTATATATATTACTACCCACTAAAACAATTACAATAAATAGAGAGTCTTACGATTTTTCCTTAACATACAATTTAATGTAAGATCATCAATTAGCACTGATCCATTTCCTAAATGGCATGAATGGGCTGAAAATGGAATAAGCTGCTTCCAAAATTAAAACATCCATCTGTGGCAGTTAAAAGGGTGAGAGGTAGATTCAAAGTTGTACATACACATGGTATGTAGCAATAAATATTTTTGTTGGTCCATTAAAATTAAGAGTAACTGAGTTCATGTTTCAAATCCCCTAAATAAAATTTCATATTGGTGATAGTGTTTTGTTTCCTGTAGACACTTTTGTATAGTTACAATAACTTTTAACAGTGTGATGTCGTTTCTTTACATCCCTTGTCATTTGGATTGTTTTTCTTTTCATATGATACATTTGAAAACTAATATTATAGAACCTCTAAAATCAAATCTAAATTTTTGAAGTTTACATTGGATAAATCAGGATGAAGAAGGCTCTAGTTGTCCAATTTGCATCAATAGTCTGTATGCTTATAAAGTCACTCTGCTAGGCCACACTCTTCACAAGGGCCAATCAAAGTGACTGTAGGGGCCTGCCACTTTAACCTGTAAACACAATAATCAGAACACTGTGATTAAATGGCAAGGGAGAACAATAGAGTGCATGACTTGCATTTAATTATTGCAATGGGAGCCAGCGATGAAGCATGACATTATGAAAATGAGGAAATCAAAGAACAACAAAAAGGGTGACTGTTGTCAACTTGGTCTTACAATGAAGATTGAGGATCCTAACTAACTAATATCATTATAAAACAGAAATAACAGTAAATTGGAGTAATGTAATGAGCTGTACCTTGCACAGGTTGAAGGCTGACATAGTGCACCTCATGAATATGTCCCAGCACAAGAGGTTTGCTTTTGTCAACTGGACAATATGGCGTTATGATTACATCATTGCTATGAGATAGACTGCTGACCACATGAATGAATGTTTTAAAGTAGTTTGCTGCAGCACACAGGATCACATGATCACCCCAAGTGCCATCTTGTTCCATGTGTGCCAGGTATCCATTCCATGTTTGATGTCCATGGACAAAGTGAAACAGATCTGTTCCATCTGGCTGTGAGAAGAACCAGTTAAAGAAGGAAACATAAAAGGATTGTTGATCGAAACTTGAGTGCGTAGAGTACGAGTCAGGGAGTAATTTTATGAGAATGGTTCGAGATGACCTTTAAATAGCAATTTACTTCATAGTACAAATTGTGTTACTTTTTCAAAATGTCTGTCTAAATTCCAAAATGCTTTGTAAACAACAAGAAAGATCCATCATTGAGAGAATGACCACAATTCTGTTATCTGATGGAAGTCTAGAGGGAAAGTTTTTGAAACTGAAATATTCAAATGACTAAAACTGTGGTGGCCTGCCTCTTTGGACCCCAGATTAAGTAACATATGAATTTAACTGTAACCAATGTCACCCTTTGCCTTCTTAAATAATAAAGTTAAATATTTCAAGTTCCCTTTTCCACCAAGGGTACAAGCTGGTATCAGAGCTCCTGAAAAAAACACCCTCAATCCATGCAGGAAGAATAACAGTACTCCTGGTCACTTCATGCTGTGAACACTGGGATAGGTTATGGTGGTGTTGGCCAAGTGGCCTGTATTATCACTAAACCTTTATCATACTCTTTAAATAGCATCACGTGACATACTCTGTTAGACATACTAACATCAACTTACAAGTTTTGGGTTATCCCTGAGGTACTGAACCAAGATTTGTCTTAATTCGCAATGTGGGATTTTGATTCCCTTAACAATTTCCAGTTGTTCAGACAAGGCATAGAACATGCAATTTCCTAATCCTTCGTTGTCAGATATTCTGAAGCCCCTATCTGATGCAATATTCCTCAGCCCCAAAGATAGATCTGTTCTGCTCTTGACTTTGCTTGCATCCAGTTGCATCTGGTGAAGTTCCTGGATGATTCGTTTGAGAGAACCTAAAAAATACAAGGTCTTTATTAATCTAACTGCATGGAAAAAGCAAAACAATTGTCTGCTGGAAATTAACAATTCTCAGTCTAGTAAGAGAAACTTTTAGGGTAAAAAAGAAAAGAGCCTCAACCACCAGACTTCTGCTGTTTTATCCAACAACTCAGCCTTAAAAAGGAAGTTGTAGCTGTCAATTAAGTTACTTTTTAGCTTCGATTTCTGCCTGTGAATGAATACACCAATAATCAAGAGAGAAGAAGCAGAGAAGAAAAATTAACGACGAGGTCTACACTCTGACATATCTGTGTAACTGGAGAGAGGAATCCTGGAAAAAAAGTACAGGCTTCAAAAATATTCTGACATATTTCCTCTACTGTATGAATATGTGATTACTTCAATATTGTTTTGACAGACAACTGTATTGTGAATAGAACATAAACTGATTTTGATAGAGACAGTAAGAGCTCCCCATGTCTCCTTGTTTCAGGCCTGGTTTCAGAAAATTCATGGTAGTTTCCAATTGGGTGAAAACTTCAAATGACTCAAAGAAATAAATAACACTAAGCCGTCCGTCCGGACCAGAAGGTAAAAGAAAATCAAATTTGTTTGTACACGTCTTCCGTTTGTGACTGAAGAGTGCAGGGGTATAAGTAAAAACATGTCTCAGAAGTAAAGAGTACCTTGCTAAGTTTTTACGAAGCATAGCTGGCCTGAAGTCAAAAGTTAAGGAAAGAAAATTGCTGGATCTCCTTGTAACCTGTCTGTACTTCTTTGGGGATATCAATTATCATGTGTTATTAAATTCTTTTACTCACTTGGAGTCAGTAATGAATCAACTGTTAGTTGTTCGGTTGACGTGTCAACAACTTCGACCTGCCGAGCTCTGAAACTTGTGTCTCGTCTTTTAGAAGCTAAAAAGATAGAAAGAAACTTTTGTTTTAATATTACAGCAATCAAGAACAGAATAAAACAACTGATTACTATTCATGTTTAACATCTATTTTATACGAGGTGTTCATACTTTCCGCCACAGTTAATAAGAGATCGAAAGCCGAGTAGCCCCCTAAAACACTTTTTGAAGGATATTCAAAACATTCTCACCATGAACTATGTCCCACATCTTCTCCACAAGACTGTCACACTGCTTCTCCCAGCTAAACTTCTCTTCATATGAACTCCTCAGTTGTTGAATATCTTGAAGTCGATCTGATCTTTCCTTCTGTCGGACACCAGCAATTGCCTTTGCCCACTCCTCAGGGTCCTCAGACTCCACCACGAATGATTTGCCTGATGGTACAGTGCACAGTGCTTCACCAAATCCTGAGTTTCCACTGACAAGAATGGGAAGACCAGCAGACAACGCTTCTAATGCTGTCAGACCAAACCCCTCTGTTCTGGAGGGCATGATGCAGAGATCAACTTCACAAAATAATTCTTTCAATCTCTCTTTGCTTTGCACGAACTTCCTCACGGTCAGCTGGTTTTTATCAATTCCACTCTTGAGTAAATTCTTTGCAACCTCATCCTGTTTACCGTCAGGTGCACCCACGAAAATCAGATGGTAAGACCTGTCTTTCAGTTCAACTATTGCTCTAGCAGAGATATCGTAGCCCTTCAAGCTGAAGTCCTCTGGGTCACCACGGCCAAACGTTAGAACCTTAAAGTTGTCCATGTCAACTGCAGCTTGTTTTACGTCGGAAAACTCACTGAACGTGCTTGGCGTCAGTTGAATTATATCTTGGTGCTTCTCACATGAGCGCAGGTAAGAAGAGTAAGCCTTCGTCAACTTTGGTCCAACTGCTACCACAGCATCTGCCAACTTACACAACTCCACTTCAGTTGAACTCTTATCTTCACCTTTGGAAATGGCCATGGGATAGTTTTTGTGCATTCCTAGTTCTTCGGGTGCAGTGTGCACCACCTGAATCCACTTGCAACTGTGAGACTTTCTGATAACTTGGGCTTGCTTACCAAGCTTTGCACCATGACCCAGCACAAAGTCAATGTCAAGGTCTCTTGGTGGGAAACTCAACCATTCAAGAGGATCACCGAAGCCTTCAAGTTTCTCAGCTTCCAAGATGGTAACATTGTGACTAGATGCCATTCTCTTCTCTTCTTCAGAACAGGCAAACTGTGGGACAAGGAGAGTAACGTCCACTTCAGAGTGTTTGGCCAACAGAATGGCAAGCTGTCTGTTGATGGTGGACAAGCCCCCCATTGACGAACTCCACTCACTGCCCAGGAGAGTCACCTTCAATGCTGTGGCAGACTTCATTGGATTGATTTCACTTGCTTCATCATGTGATCTAGCAGCTACATTTGAAGAGGACAAACCCTGAAGAAAAAAAGGTCATATAAAATTAAGGTAACTACATTGAAAAAACTTTGGTTGTGGTCATATAAATTTTAATTGATCAATACTTTACCATGGTAAAACGAAAAAGTATAGAATTAAAAAATAATTTCATCTTATTACAAATTCTCTGACTTATATTTAAAACTGAAGACAACCTATCAGGGCTCCCTTTCTCAACACTGATAACAGCCCAATTGATATTCACATCAAGTAAATTAGAGGAGCAAAGCAAACATGAAACTGAGGCTAGAAATCTTTGCTTGAAAGATCATTACAGTCAATTATACCTGGCTTCTTCTTTTCAAGAACCATTTCTTCAATCCACAAACTGGTTCTATCATATCCCAAGGTTTTCGCTTACAGATGTCCGGCTGACCTTCATTTGCATCAATGAGGTGGAGGCAGTCCTTGTGTGTGCAAGTGGTTTTCATGTGGTCTGAGCATGCACGACGCATTTCTTCTGTCCCTTGATGACAGTTAGGACATGCAACACACAGCCTATACTGCAGTCCCCTCAGGTATGGCATTTCTTGTGACAAATTCTTTAGGGTGTCTTCAAGAAATTCACGAACAAGAGTTGCTAATTTGACAGAGTTTTGTCCTACAACCTGATGACTTTGTGCTTTTTGTCTCAAGATTACCTTCACAAATCCTGTTTTGCATATGAGGACAAAATCATGAATATCTTTTCCAATGATGAACCATGCTCCATTTTGGTACAGGGTGGGTTGATGTGTGGCCCATGTCTTTGAACACCAATGAATGGATCGCGAGACAAGCTGCAAGAAGAGACCATGAGGGACAAAGCCATGGACAAAGAGGAGATACAATGGACATGGATCAGTTGATGATGGTTCCATCTTACAGAGTTCTACAGGTGATGACTTCAACTGAGCTGGTACAAAGTACTTCTCCTCATTTGGGGAAACTGAGAACTTAGCGATCAAACCAAATTGCTCCATCATGTCCAGGATGTCTTCTCTAATGATTCCTGGTCCAATAAAGCTGGAGAACACGTAATCAACATGTTCCATGCTAAGGATGCCACTTCCTTCAAGTTCCCGCCAGTAATTAGCATATCGAGCATTCTACAAAATAAGTGACAGTAATTCCAGATGAGAGAAGTCCACTAAATGTTCCTTTTGTATGTTTTCAACATGTATGTACAAGAACTAGAAAATAATGGTATCGAAATGGTTGGAAATTACACTCTTAATGTGCAATTTTGTATCTTAGGCTCCTCAGAGGTGATTATTAGTTGTTATTCACCACCGCAGAAGCCATTTAGCGCAAGTAAAAAGAACTGTTCACTTGTGTGACTACAATTATTGTTAGTGGTGGCAAGTTAATGCAAGTCTCTTGTAAAGCAAAAAGGCTAAATCAGTTTATGACCTGAAAAGCTGCAAAAGGTACATGAAATAATTTGAGGTCCAACAATTGTAAAGATCAAAGAGTTACAGCTGTTGCATTAGTTGCTGATTTATTAAAAAAATATATCTCTCATTTTCTGTTGGTCTAAATTATTGAACATTTTCTAAGTTAGGTCCTTTCAAAAATGAAATTTTTTTCCTACCTGTTTATTGAAAGGTGGAATGGTTATCAGCTGTTTGAACAGATCAATCAACCACTGAGCCTTCAGTACAACTGTACTGCGGTGCTTGATTATCATCCCCAGGCCATGGTAAAAACTGATCATGGACTCAAACTCTTTTGCATCTTTCATGAAACAATCTTTCTTTGCATAGTGCTCAAGTTGTTGCAGATTTCTGTGATAAATCTGTTTAGCCACCAAAGCTTCAATCACCTTTTCAAACAAAAACCATCTAGAAGGCAACAGAATAATTAAAATGTTTTAGGGTTTAAAATTGGATATTAACTTCAGTCAGACATGTGCTTATTTGTAGTCTTCCAGTGTTAACTCATCTATTTCCTTGGTCTAGCTTTCTCCACACATTAGGAGAATTCAAACATGGTTATATTTTTCACATAAACAATCTCAATTCAAAGAGCTGTGCCTTCTCAAATATCCATCAGACATTCACACCTTTCTAAAAAACACAATATTGTCATGATGTCATGAATAAGAGTTTTATTTGTTTGCACTTATATGACTGCTGTGTATTTGTACAGTCTTATGTTTTAAGAATTTTGATGAACTTCAAACTAGGGTAGGTACAATATTTTTGTGTTCATATACATTTATATGCATATACAGTAATGCTGAAAACACTGACTGCTCTTCAAAAAACTCTTCATAACCACTTGAATACATGAAAAACATTGATCCCAAAGTCCATGAATTGAGGTTTGCCAGATAAAATGTTACTTTTGCTTACCTGACAGGTATCCTCTCCCCCATATAAGGCTCCTGCCTCAACACCTCCAGGATTTTGTTCTGCAATTCTTTTATTCCATCTGCTTTTCCTTCTTCCTCTGCTGGATATGTTTAGAAAATGAATGCAAAACATAATGTAACACAGAAACATGTGCTTACAATGAGAATAGTTTGTATCATACATGTGTGATTGCAGATATGTTATAGCTAAGATGATAAACTCTTCAACTCCCCAAATCATCTTCTGTTCCTTATTTCAAACTCTGAAATTAATGGATCTGTCAGCAAAAATTTATAGGCCCAAGTATGGTGACACTGGTACATAAAGTAACTGAAAGCTAAGAAGAGTGCAGCTAATAAAAAAAAACTCTAAGTAGCTTCCACTATTAGCCTGAACTCATTCAACCAGGGCAGTATCCTTCCCTCATCACTCCCACTAAAACATTCTATATGTCTAGCAACCTTTTAAAATTATAATGACACACAGCAGAACTGCTTGATGACATGTAAATGTGAGTCAAATAATAATTATTGTATGCTCAATGCTTCAACTACATTCTATAAACATTGATATCACCACAACAAAATCTTTACTGAAATGGTTAAGCCTTTGATTGAAAACACTTTCATGAACCATTCATAAAGTTCCTCCTCCTTCTCCTTCTCCAAATATCAACCAAACATGGGATTGATACTTCAAACTTGCTCACAAAACTCACTTCAAACTGCTCATAACAGAATGGTAAACAAACGGTTTAAAGTTTCTCTTAGATTTTTTTAAAACAGACAACTGAAGGAAATTACAGTGTTTCAAATTTTTTTTGCAAAATGGACCAAAATTTCTTAAATGCTTAAATGTTCATGGATGAGCAAATCATTTAAACACTTTCATGAACCAAAGACAAGCTAGTCACCAATTATTAAACCATCAATTACTGCAAGTAACACATTGTCAAGGATACAATATGACATCAAATATCTTACCTGTTTTATGTTTTACTCTCAGCTTTCGAAACTTCTGGATAAATTTCTTGATCAAGTTTGGTCTCTGAGTGTTGTCAATGCAGAATAAGGGTCTGACCACATGCTTCTCATATTCCATACCAGAAATTCTCTCCTGTATTTGTTTCTTTATTACTGCTATGTCTTCAACTGGTTTGTCAGCATGTGTTCCAACAATAAACACTGGGGGGCGGAGGTAGGGCAGCTTATGTTGTGCATCATCATCTGGGTCATCAGTTGCCAGGGCAACACTGTGTACTGTAGCCAGCCATGACAGCAAATTCTCCATGTTTGTTTCATTGTTAGGGTTTTCCAATTTCACATCATTACTCCCTTGTCTCATGCAGGGCTCAGCTGCAGCATCCAAAGGCTTGCTGAGATTGTGCACCAATATGTACAGTGCTCGCTGTGATAAGAAGATAGGATGGCTGGCATAGTACAGGTGCTGCCCTGCAAAGTCCCATAAATCCATTGTGTAATAGGATTCTTCTAGGAATAAACCACTTTTGATGTCTTTGCCTTTGAGATACTCCAACCACTGATGAACATGCTTCTCAGTATCAGGGGGTTGAGCAACATCAATAATTACCTCGGGCTCATCTAAAATGCAGTCCATTGAGTGTTCAATGCTAATGTTGTGCATAGCATCTACTGATGGGTAATCTCCTTTATCCTCAACCTGAGTAAAGAATCAAATAAGGGGAAATTATTTACTCTAAGTACCACACTGATGCAGTCTCACCAGCAAACTCATTACACATCTCAAATAACTGTGTCAAAGTTTGATGTAAATTAGATAAAATGAGAGTACATGTACTGGGAGGGAAATTATTGTTTAGACTTCAAGCAGTTCCCTGTTTTTTGGCTAAGACCACTGCAAAGTAAAAAAAAATCAGTTAAAAAAATTGAACAATTTTAATTTTTGCTTCACTTTAAGGCTCACATAATCTTCATTTGACATTAAATATTTAAAACTATACTGTCATAAAAAGCTGCCTTAAACATGTGTGTGAAGAACATTTTTAAAATTCTGATATTACCTTTTTTTGCCATGTTTGTAACTACCTAAAGATCCCTTTTCAAAATCTGCAGGTGATATGTGGGCTGAATCTTTTTCAAAATCTTCTTTTGAACTTTTATCTGAGTCTTTTTGTCTCAGCTTTTCTTGCTGCATAGACATTTTTCTAGCATGATGATCTTCTTGAGTAAAAAGTTTCTCTGCAACAATCTTTGCCACATCTTTAGAACATTCCAATAGTCCTGGTTTATTCTCACCAATGGACTGCCAGTTCCTTGCAGCTTGGTCAACATCAATTTCACACTTTGAAGGATCCACTTCAATCCCCTCAGTGCTCTGTTCTTCAGAGTCAAATGGAAGGCCTAGCAGACTCTTCTTTAAACTGGTTTTACCTGCTCGATCCTGACCAATGAGTAATATTCTGCCACGGTAAACCATGACATATCCATCTTGCAAAGCCCTTTCATAAGCCAGCTGTGCTTTAAGTCTCTCTCTCATTGGGCCTAATAAGAAAGAGTTTTAACAACACAAAGAAAAAGGTAGTTTGCGCATTGATAAATTTCTAAAAATTAATTGAAAAAGAAAGCAAACTAAAGGTAAAGGTTGACAAATCAACAACTATAAATGCCTAACATGAATAATGTTGGAGTTAAAGGCTGGTATATATAAACTTAACCATCAAAATTGTTTATTTTTTTCTGATCTTAATGCATTTATTCCACTATTACATAAAAGTTACACATAATAATTCTTCTGGCATAAAATGTAGTGATGAGTTTGAGAACATGCACACCAAATCTAAACTGACTCAATGTTTCAGAACAATAAGAATTAGAACCACTTGTGACTGATCACACAAGAGAGAGGCAAGGACTTAAATCAATTCTGCCGAGTAGTGAGGAGTCAATAACCAATTAATTGATTGTGTACGAAAAAAAAAGCACATATTTCCAAAGGGTAACAACTGTAAGTTTAAAAATAATTACACAAAAAACACCTGCAGTGTAAATTCTATGGAAATAATAATCAGGATTCAGTCATGCTAATAACAAATTCAAGCTATATGCCTATAACTTAATTCACAAAATTTAATCACATTAGTTTATGAATTGTGTTTGATAAGCCACAAGTTACTAAATTTTTAAACACTTCAAATTAACCAAATGGAAAGCAAAAATAAAAAAAAAATTCCTAACAGTGAATTAACTTGGGATACATTTTATCATTTCGTAATTCCATTCCAATAGAAAGAAAACTCAAAACAGTAATTCCTAACTGCGTAGAATGATTTGTAACAACATTTACTCTCTTGATTCCACATCAAATCATATTTCCTTATTGATGAACTTAAATTTCAATGTCAGCCAAATTGTTAAAATAAAGCTTTTCAATATTAGAACAAAAACTTCCATTACAAATGTCATGTATTTCTCAAGTGATGCCAACTTTGTTAAACCACACAAAAACTGTGACAGTATTTACAGTTTAACTATCGCCAGCTACCTGTAATAATCAGTAACAAGCAGAATAACCACTTGCAAATCAATTATTAGAACCAATTTAGTAAATGCAAATGTCACAACAATGATGTGAACAGAAATTTCTTTACTCACCTTGGAGATCTGAATATACTCGGTCAATTATTCCTCTATCTTCTAGCTCCACAACACTTCTCATTCCTTCAACTGTAAAAGGATTCCCATTTACAAACAACGATTTGAGTTTCTTCAGCTGTTTTATGGCTGGATTTAACACAGTCAACTGGTTGTAACTCAGATCCAGTTCCTCCAGTGCCACCATCTCACCAATAGCATCAGAGATGGTGGTTAGTTTGTTATGTGAGATGTACAGCTGTTTCTTCAGCTGTGTTATAGACTCAACACAGTCAACTGGTTGTAACTGAGCCACCATCTCACCAATTCTCCAGCCATTTGAGTTTCTTCAGCTGTTTTATAGCTGGACTCAACACAGTCAACTGGTTGTAACTCAGATCCAGTCCCTCCAGTGCCACCATCTCACCAATAGCATCAGAGATGGTGGTTAGTTTGTTATGTGAGATGTGCAGCCATTTGAGTTTCTTCAGCTGTTTTATAGCTGGACTCAACACAGTCAACTGGTTGTAACTCAGATCCAGTCCCTCCAGTGCCACCATCTCACCAATAGCATCAGAGATGGTGGTTAGTTTGTTATGTGAGATGAACAGCACTTTGAGTTTCTTCAGCTGTGTCAAACTTGCTGGGAATATGGACAGCTGGTTTCCGCTTACATCAAGGACCGTAATATTATTTAGTTTTCCAACATTTTCAGGTATTGTTTTAAGTTTATTCTGTGACAGGTCAAGTTTGTCCAACTCAGTTAATTCCTGCACCGCTTCAGGCAATTCAAGCAAATCCCACTTTGACAGATTTAATGTTTTTCTTCCGAAACGATCTGTTACAATCTTACTTCTCAGCTTTTCTTTAGAAATATGGGAATCCATGTCTTAGTAATGTAACTGTCAGAACGAAAAAAACAAGCTGTCATTAAAGGTGAGTAACTTGAACTAACTTTCTTGTGGCATTTATAATAACAATCGAACCAAAAATTGGCAAGAATGAGGTTTATAATTTAACATCTACTGAACCAAGGTAATGATTTATTCCTCGTAATACATTATCTTTGGAAACCATCCACCCTTCAGTGTTCTTTTAAACATTTTGAGTAAAGGACCGGATGCTTATGCGTAAAGGGTCTTGAGTTATTTATTTTCATCAGAAACATTTCAACTTAAATCTAATTGTATAATTTTTGTGTTCATAAACAATTGCTTGAGTTATAGATGTTAACGAAAAGGCAATTATGAACAAGAAAGATATTTGAATTTAAATACACTGAGTTTTCCAAGCTGTTTTTCCAAAAACATACGAATTACTACTTCCATTTCAAAATTAATATCCAACAGGAAAGAAATAATTGGTGCAAATCTATGGTTGGTTTTGTTTTCATGTGATAACCTAAGACAGTTGTAAATAAACCAAAGCATGAATGATTTCTAAGCTGTTGATATCAGACCAAGTTGCTAATTTTCAGACCTGTTGTTTGATTTTATCCTCTGTAAGCTATTTTTACTTGCAATTAACAGAGTGAATTCATCAGAATATGGTCCTAGTCATTTAATAAAGACTGATTGGATAAGTCCTTCTCACTGACATATTCACTGTTTTGATACAAAAATAATCAGAATGAGAGCTCTTTGTTTTGTTTGCTTTTTTTTTTTTACAGAGTTTGTCTAGCAGCATGATGGTTTTAAGATTACAATTTTCAATTGAAGACATGTTTTGCATGAAATATCATCCAAATCACCCATAGTTGCTGTACTCATTATGTTATGTATTGAATGTTGTTGATGAAATAAAAAAATAACAAAGAGTAGAGAAAACTGGTTTTATTCTCTTATTCATGTTTATCAATAAAAGCTTAACTAAGAAGGGAATGTGAAAAGAAAAAGTTTATATCAATTAACTGAGGATAGTGATTAAGAACTCACTTGGTACTAAGCAGAAAAATGAGGAATTGAAAAAAGTGTCCATAATTAGAACTGGCCACTTACGAGAGTGTCCATTAGCAGAGAGTTGACTTTAAAATAAATTAAGATCCTTCATTAATTAACAAATCTATCAGGGACTGTCTCCAAAACTTTAAAAATTGTGCCTGGCTTCTTGAATATTTAATTTTCAGCAAAATGAATTCAAGTTAAAAATTTTACAACTGCAATCATTAACCAACATCAAAACTCATGTATAACATATTTATTTAACCCTTCACCTTGCATGAGTGACCAATACAGGAATTCTCCTTACAAAATATCAACACAACATCAAGCAGATATTGTAAGTGATATGAACAAAGGAAAATATCAGTTAGAGGATTATTAGATGATCCAATACCAAATTCTCCAAACTTACATCATAAGAATGGTATGGCAAACAGTAGGGAGAATTACTAAAGAGATCTTGGGAGTGAAAGGGTCAAGGGAATGAGAGTGTTTACCTAAGAACAAAATAATTCATGTCCCCAAATGTGCACTGAATGCATTTGTTGCTTTTTCAAACAAACAAGTAATGGTTAAAAAAAACTCAGGGTTGACTTGCAAAAAAAAAAATCAACAATTTTAAAAACCATGGATCTTTAATATAGGCTACCCTGTCTCAGTGCAATAAAAAAATCCTTACTTCCTTTTCAGGGCTCAATAATTTGCAAATATCAGAATTAAAAAATGTTGAGGAGGAAAAACTTTCATCTGAAAATATAACTTTTCATCTGTTAATCAAAACTATAACAAAATTCTTCAACATGATTGGTTATCTCCAGCCCAATTTGAGCACCTATAGTACAGTGTGTGTCATGCTTGTAATTGGACCGTGTTATAGGACCATTAAAGGGACAATTATCATGTCATGCCTGTGGAAGGGGACAGAATGTGTGATGTGCGCACACTGTTGTCCTGCATTTTGCCAAGTTAATTGTTGTTGTTGTTGTTTTTTATGAAAATGTATAATGGATGTCTATAGTTTCTTTCTCAGATTTTATTATATTGTGATTAATTGATAACAGTCATCTGATTTGTTAATCAAGAGTATTATTACAAACAGAATTGGACAACAGGAAGTCCTGTGAACAACCATGGCAGAAACATGGATGACCATGGTCTATCCATGGTCTTGACACCGGAGTAATTAGCAATTATTGAATGAGGTTGAGCATGATATAAAAAACTGAATTGAATAATCGTTTTATTATAAATTTTAGGCATTCAGTTATTTTGAGCATCTCTCTTGGTTTGCAAAATTTTGAGAACACTAAACTGTAAGGTCTTGGAAACTAGGCAGACATTGATCTTGAGAAGATAAATGCAGTATAAGCCTCAGATATTACATTTTATCATGTGAACTTCACACACTATTGCATATTGATTGAATGCTCTTGACCAATCAGCTTTTTTATTGTAAATCTTATTTATAATAATCAAAATTATTGAAGATGTACAGGAAATTTTTTGTTCTTTTTGCAACCAAGAGACAACTGGCCATTTAATACTGGAATTGAATTTTTTTGGCTTGAAATGCACATTACAAGTATGATGTGGTACTTATACATATTAATGAGAAAGATTGTTAATGAATCACAAAGAACTGAGTTCAAAGGTCTCCAGGAATTTGAATTGTATCTTTTCATTGTCAGAGGTTCGGACTTATACCCCTTTGTAAAACTCAGTCACATAAAAATATTTGGCCTTTTCACACATCACGAATAATATCAAAGTTTTTTCACGTTCACGCATTTGAGACATTTCACATGAAAGTAAGAGACCAAATTCCCTAACTAAATTTTCAATTTTCCTAGTCTTGAACAGTCTTAAGTGACAAATGATGACAGAATGTCTTACATTATTTGTTCAAGGAACATTAGAGGTCTGTTTTATGACTTCTATTAATCCATGTAAAGTTCATGTCCTGTCACAACCCTGGTCAAAACTTAACCACTGCTGTTCGAGAATAATACATTTTTAAAACCATCAAAAAGCTGGGAATTCATTGTGCAATACAAAATAGTTCACGAATCACGTTTAATTCAGTTCTTCATTCACGGGTCACGTTTAAATAAAAAAATTACTTCACGTGGACCTAAAAAGATCTTATTATCTTTAATCACGATTCAAGAAAAGGAAAAAAATTAATTCACGATTCACGAGGAAAAAAATCGCCCAATCGTGTTTCACATAAAGAGTATACGGGACCCTCTTGTCAATCACTGAAGCAGACAGCGAGCAAGTTTAATTTATTTTATCAAATACCTGACATACCTGCATTTAGATCAAAGCAATCAAGCATCAATTTGGTTACTTTACAGATTCAAGAGATTTTGAGTTCGTCTCTAACTTCTGTCTGATGAAATCAACTACACTCCATGGAATTAAGCGAGTATTTTGTCATAAGTTCAAACACTTCCATTGCTTAACGCGAAAAACTGAAAACTGAACAACTACCAGACAGAAGGATTAATGATCAGAGCTGATTTTCTTCAAGACGATCAGAAACAGTTTGTCCCTTTATTCTTTCCATTCCTGAGAGAATCTTCGATCAAAACTTCCCGTTAAGGCCATCTTAACTGACAATCACTGTTTTCCTTTTCCCTGTTGCTGAGAGTGTGTAACTTTAACTCGTCTCATGCAGAAGGACGACTGAAGGCGCCTTTGTTTTACTTTATCAAAATCGTTATGTCTTCGTGCTTTGCATTTGACGAGTGTCGCTAAAGTTGAAATTATAATAGATCAGAAACCCACACACTCAAAATACAAAGGGAAACCAGCGAATACTGGAGATATCAGAAAGTTTGTGTGAACTGACAGAAATGGCGGCAGAAGCACTTCAGGGGAAATTACTTCAGTTCGATCGAGCGGAGAGTGTGAGTTCTTGGCAGAATTATCTCTGTTCGCGTCGCAGAAGTCTGGCGAGGCTACACTTTACAAGTGAGCTAAATTCTTATCTATATGGAACATAATTCTTACCACTCAGCAGTGTGAACAAATCCTGCAGTGAACAAACGAAAATCCAAATACAGATCGCTGACAATCTAACGTCTCTGCTCAAGTGGACACTCCTTAATTCACACAATTTATTTAACCCCCTCCACAAAATATTTCAGGCTTCTCAAACGTCACGCGACTAACGGCTTGTTTACATTCAGTTACCGTGCCGAAAATAGCACGGTAAATAAATTATGACTGATTATGCAATTGAAGCCATGTGGTTACTCAGTATTTGTCACGCAAGGTACGGCTTCGTTGAATAGTGCTCTCGCTGTAGACGCTGTCCTTCCGTTGACATACTTTGTTTGGTGCTGGATTCTTATGTAATCTTTAGGCTACCAATTAAAAAAAAAAGTCAAAACAGCCTACAAGCTTACATCCCCAAGTGTAACGTTGCGTAAATTGAGTATTTCAGGTCTCCTAATTCTTACACTGTTTAACTATTACTCAAGTAGCGTTATTTCAATTTAGGTAGCGACACTTTTAGTAACAGATCAAGGACAACAACAAGGTCCTATAATGAAAATATTATTAATTGTAACAAATGGCTTTTTAATGTAATCGAAATAAGCTTTCAAGGGAGAGTTAATACAAATATGAGGAAAACATAACGTAGTAATATTCTTCAAAGTTGATAAATATTTGAATAAGTGACGAATGTGATAGCCGATAAAGAAACTACTTGCAAACCTAAAAGAACTCGACCAACAATTTCGTTTTGTTTAATACCACGTACGACGTCGGAATTCTGATGACTTTTCAACGCAACAGCAATTCATATCGTTCCCCTTATAGGACTGACTTCAGCTGTTTAGATATAATAATATCATCCTGTCAGTCATTCGCGGGCGATGTTTTTCGCATATTTTTTGTCAAAACGAGTAAGGAACTCATCAGGATGCCAGAAAAGTGTGTGCAAGCTCCAT